ACACCCACCATATTATATCCCGGGGTACTCTGTCATATGCTTTTTCAAGGTCGATAAACACCATATGAATGTCTCTTTTCTTTTCTTTATACTTTTCTATTACTCTCTTCAAAAGATAGATCGCTTCCATTGTTGACCTACCAAGCATAAACCCAAATTAATTCTCTAACACCTCTGTTATGTCTCGCAATCGGTGTTCCATCACCCTCTCCCACATTTTCATTATATGACACATTAGCTTGATTTCTCTATAGTTGTTACAATTCTAGACATCACCTTTATTCTTATAAATTGGCACTAAAATACTCTTCCTCCACTCATCTGGCATGTTCCTAGTCAACAAAATTTTGCTAAACAACCTAGTCAACCAAGCAACTCCCTTTTTACCCAAACACTTCCAAGCTTCAATAGGGATATCATCAGGTCCTAAAGTTTTATTTGATTTCATCTTCTTAAGTGCAATCTCCACTTCAAAGTTCCTAATCCTGCGATAGAACCTATAGTCTTGGTTTATCGTATTACTGGCTATTTCTTCCCCTATTGTCGTACTTCCATGTTCCTCATTTAACAGTTTCTCAAAATAATTCTTCCATCTTTCCTTAATCTCATCATCCTTCACCAATGCCTTAGAATCCTCACTCTTGATGCACTTTACTTGATAAAAATCTCTTGTTTTCCTCTCCCGTATCTTAGCAAGTTTGTATACCCTCTTCTCTCCCTCCTTACTATCTTGTCTAGTGTATAGGTCATCATAAGCTTTCAACTTAGTCTCTCTCACTACTTTCTTGACCTCCTTATTAGCTAATCTATAGCTCGTAAGGTTTTCCTCAGTTCTATCCTTCTGCCACTTTTTAAAGCACTCTTTTTTTGCCTTAACTACCGCTTGAACCTCTTCCCTCCACCACCAAGTTTCCCTAGAGCTGGGTCCCGTTCCTTTCGACTCTCCAAGCACTTCCCTTGAGATTCTCCTCATACAATTGGCCATCGAATTCCACATAGTGTTAGCATCACCTTCTAAATCCCAAGTACCTTCCTTATCCATTCGATTCTTAAATATTTCTAGTTTATCCCCTTTTAAGTCCCACCATCTCGTCCTACGACGCCCACCATCCTTCCTAGCTTGGTATTGCCCTCTAAAACATAAATCTAGTATCAAAATCCTATGTTGAGAGACCAGACTCTCTCCAGGAATCACCTTACAATCATTGCATTTTAGGCGGTCCACTTTTCTCACTAAGAAGTAATCTATTTGGCTCTTAACTAATCCACTCTTAAAGGTTATCAAATGCTCATCCCTCTTCTTATACATAGCATTGGCCACCACCAGGTCAGAAGCCAATGCAAAATCTAAGATTCTCTCTCCAGCCTCATTTCTGTCACCAAAATCGTATCCACCATGCATCCTTTCATAACCTAGTTTATCTCTGTCCACATGGCCATTAAAATCTCCACCTATAACCAGGTTTTCTCCTACGGGTATCTCCTGTAAGATCTCATCCATCATAAAGCCCTATAGAAACAAAGCAAGCAGAGAACAATAACTCGATTGTTGTATGTACTAAATGAGATACACTAAGATATAGTTTTATTGTGTTAACAGAAAATGCTTGTGTTTATCATCATGACTACTGAAATTTCTGTCTGTTTTTATAGTTTTTCTTCAATTTTTCCCCCTAGTAACATATAGATTCCACTCCACTCATATTCTGCAAAATTAAATTGACTACTTCTCTTTTTGAAGTCCTGTCTCTCCCATACCATGTTTCTCAAATGTCACAAACAACACAATACTAATGGGAGAAATATAGAAACTTGCTCCTTATTGATTTTCTTTCTTTTGCTTCAACCTTGTACTTCCCCTTCAACAAAATATGATAACCTATACAACAATTGTATTATGTTAGGATGACAAAGCAGTAAAATTGTATTGGTTGACTGGAACGTCGATGACCATGTGAGACCTCAGTTGATAGAGATCAAAAGTTGGAAATATGGCATTGATTGGGCTTTCAGGTCCTCCTATTGTTAGGAAGAGGGAAGGATACATGGAGAGATTTGCCACATTTAAACTATGCACTTCTTGTAGAACTGAAGATGAAAGTGGAAGAATGACCTTTGCAGTTTAACAAGTTGATCATGGTTATGACTAAATGCTATCAATTCGGCTAATATGAAAAATTTGCCCCGCTTAGGATCTTCAGCCAAATCACGACAATGAACGATCTTTCTGGATATCTCTAGCTACTGTTTCTTGTTCAATTTAATTAAAATTTTTTAAAAAATATTCTGTATCGTCAAAATGTCAAATGAGAAGAAAAACTGCTGATTGAATTCTCATCAGAGTGAATAGATCAGTGGCAATTTGTCTTACATATTAAGTCATGCATTGTGTCACACACCTTGTTTATTGTACCCAAATGAGAACCATCAAAATATCTACTAAAATATTGTTGGAAAAACAATCTAATTGGACATTAAGAACCCAAGAAAAAAAAAAAAGGAATTTTCAACAAAGTTTGATGACAATGCACGAGAAACATTCTCAGACCACCTGCAGAGGCCTGAAAGCTTCCCAGTTACTAATCACTGCTTCACAACCAACAGACAAACCTAGGAAGAGACACTTGAGAAACCTGAATCATATTTAGCATAAACAATTTGTCGATCCTACCATAACGATTTGGACTATACTAAGAATTCACTGCCAAAAAGGAATTCAACACCCTACTGCGGCTATACTAGAACTGTAAGGGCAGCTTGAAGGGAAATCAATTTCAAAAGCAACCATTTGATTCCTCAACATACCAATTACAGTGGCTCACATATTATGAACATAACTGGAATTTTACAGTGGGGACTGCATTTCCAACTGATAAAAGATCTGAATGAAAGAAATCACATGAAATCTCTATTAATCAGGTAAAATAGGATACACTATGCAACATCATACAATTAGCAACAAGTTTGAAAGAACTCCTACGCGGCCATTGCACAAAAAGCTTTCGCTCCTGCATTTGTTTTTACTTGATCTAATGAAGTACAAAATTTACTGAGTCGTGTTACAAAGCAGAATCAAAGTAATGGTCTGAAACCAAACCCACACTGATAAATTTAAAAAAAAAACAAAACAAAACAAAAAAAAAGAAACAAAAATCAAGCACGTCTTTTACTCAAACGCCATGAATTGGGTTCATGGTATCTGTCATAAAGAGGTTCAACGCGTTCTTGACGCTTGCGTTTGCTCATTTTTGTGGGATCTGCCACTTTGAAGAATCTTGGTGCCAGTTCCACAAGCCATTTAGGGTCAACAACTGTGACCTCACGCATGTACTCCTTTGTAGTCATTACCAGCTCATGGTAGATCACCCAGTCAGGCTGTCTCTGGAAAAGAGCACTGCTCGGGTGGATATAAACTGGCTGGTTTTCTACCAAAGTTCTATAACCTTCTTGTGGATCTTTTCTCGCTGCATGGAAAAAAAATCCTGCAGCAATTGCCTTCCTTATCTTGGTGAAATTCTTCCCAGCAGTCACAACATCCAATTTATACCTGCAATACAACATCAATTAGTAACTTACGAAACATTTGAAGTCTAGAAGGTAGAATCTTACTATCAGTATGAATATGACATACAACATGAAAACCTCTAACTCATCTGCCTAACTTTAGATCACACAAATAAATTTTTTTTTTTTTTTTTTGTGGATAAATAACAAATAAATTGTAGAAATTTAATGTATAAAGAGAAATAGAGAATTGAGAAATAGAGAATTGTATTATTGATTGATGAATAGATTGTTGTTACAATGGATTGATTATATAGATGTAGGATAGGTGGTGGTAGGTGAGGAGTAGGTGAGTGTAGTAGGTGAGTGTGTGGTAGGTGATGGTAAGTGTGTGGTAGGTGATGGTAAATTCTAACAGCCCCCCGCAAACTCAAGGAGGATAGAAACTAACCAACTTGAGTTTGAAGAGAGGAACAAAACAAGAAAATACATAAAAATAAAAAAAAAAGAGAAACTACCAACGTTGCCCAACTATCTGGTAAAGAACTGAGCAGTATGCTTGGTGTGAGTTTAGCCGAGGTCATTTTCAGTCTATTTAACCCTTGGAACCACTTTGTTTGACCTCCACCTTCGCCCTGACATATTGGCCGAGATGTCATTATCTAGGCCGAGGTGTTCATCACCAAGGCCGGGGTGTGAATCATCTAGGCCGAGATGTTACCTTTGCACCTAAGTGATCTTGTCCCGGAGTGGTATGACCTAGACCGAGGTGTGGCACATTTAGGCCAAGGTGTGGCACAGCTTAGTCAAGTGTTGTCCTTCCTAACCGAGGTCATTGTTTCCTTACTTGCCGATGCCTTGCTTTTAGCCGAGATCATTGCCTACCGAAGTGCCCATGCCATCTTGCTTGTTGAACACACTTCGTCATAGTTTTGTCTTGTCACTCAGTCACCTTTTTGTGTAGCACCAACCGGCCGCTGCCACGTGCCCCTGTAGAGGGTTAAGTCAGCCAGCAGATTTAGAAATGTATCATTTTGCTGTGTTTCCTTGTCGTGAAGAGAGAGAGAAGCTCTAGAAGAAGAAGAAGAAGAAGAAGTTTTAGAGTGAGAGAGTGGGTTTTCGAGCTTGACTCCTAGAGATCAAACCGTTAGATTCGCGTATTAAGGTTAGATTCTTGATGTACTCTTGTCGTTCTTATTGATCATCTAGCTGCATTGCACGATCGAACCTGTTCTGCATGTCATGCATCGATTTAAGTTGATTTTAGAAAGAGAAAATAGTGTTCATGTATTCTTGAAGAAAAAGTCTTGTTTGATCTGAAAGTTTGCACTAAGATTCATGTTTTTATGTTTGTTCTCACAAGATCCTTGAATATGGGTACCCAGGTCCATGTTTTTGAACTCATAGCATGGAATCTCAAATTTTGTAATAGCAAATTATGATCTTTGCATTCATCTTCCTCATGTTCATGTTTTCCATGTTCATCGTGTTCTTCAAGAGAGGGAAACCCAGATTTTTCCCGACTTCATTTCCTTTGAATGTGGCCATCGAGGCCACACCTCGGCAAAGGGGTGTGAAACCTCGGCCTAGACCTGGTAGTCGCCCAGCATGTTTTCCCAAGATAAAGAATTGTGTTTGTTTTGATTTGACTTAGTCTTGAGGAATGTCGAGATCGATCATCTACATGCATGTGAAACTTGTTTGAAAGTGCATTCAACAGACTTTGCCATGTGCTTGTAGGATTTGGACTGGACTTGACTTGACCCCGACGTTTGAAGAACTAAATGAGTGGTATTTTTAATAAAGCTATGTTATAATGCTTTGATAAAAGTCTTGTTTTGCTTCATTTTGAAAAGTATTTGTAAGCATGAATGGTTATTCCTAGTTGGAAAATATACATACTACCTTGTTTTGATGACATTCTTGGAAGTCCGTACGTGCTAAAAGACTATAAGCATTTGTAGCACAAAATTTGGAAGTCCGTACGTGCTAAGGGACTATAAGCATTTGTAGTACAAAGTTTGGAAGTCCTTACGTGCTGGAGGACTCTAAGCATTTGCAGCACAAAGTTTGAAAGTCCGTACGTGCTAGGGGACTCTAAGCATTAGTAGCACAAGTCCTTAGTGTCAGGGGACTATAATGCAACGACACCATTGAATTGAGATATCTCCCTTGTCTTGTCTTGTCTTGCCTTGTTTGCCACTGACGGTTTACCTCGTGGGTTTGTTTGCCGAGATGTCATCACTTGTATTATAATGATGTTAGTAAACATCCTTGAAACTTGACAGATTTGCTAGATGGACTTGGTCCATCCTTTGACTTGCACTAATTACGTTATGTATTGTTTGATAAAGATCTTGAATATCAGTCATGCAAACCCCTTTATTACTTATACCATTCACTGAGTATCCAAGCTCACCCTCTCTATATATATGTAGGTGATGAGCAGGAAGGCGGTGACGCCTAGGTGTTACTCGCGAGCTTGTTTTGGGTTTTTGTTATGTCGGCCTAACTTGTGTTCACGTCGGCAATCTTGAAAATTATGCTTCTCGGCTTATAATACTCGTAATTTACACCTGTCGGCTGGAGAAGCCTTTTGATCAAGATGTAATATGTACTTTGTACTTTATTGTATTTGTATCCAAGTTGTAATATTATGTAAAATTGTATGCCATTCCATGTAACTTACGCACTGCTCTTATGGACCACTTGTATTTTTTTAAATTATTGCTTCCGCACTTGTGAGCCCCATATATAATTTATACTCTGATTGTGTGTGGATTTTGAAGGTTGGCCTTCGGTAATCCCGGATTACTAGCCATCACGGCACCAAACTACTAGGAGCGGTTTGGGGTCGTGACATAAAACCAGTAACTTACACAAGTTTTTTCTTGTCCTATCTGCCTAAATGAAAATTACACAATTGTCTTCTATTTTTTACTTATTGACAATATGTACACGACACAATCACCTCCATCCAAGACCAGTAAAGTTTATGAAGTCAAAGCAACTTACACAATTGCCACAATCAAGCTAAAAGTAGCAATTGTCCGATAGGATGTGTCAAACTTTTATAGCTTCATGCATCCATATGCAGATCAAGGTTGTTAAAATCGGGATCCTAAGTAGGATCGGTGAGAGGGTCTGGTGGATCGGATCGTAGGATCGGTGAGAGGATCGCAAGATCCTACTTTCTATTAAAAAAAAAGATAAAAATTAAAATTAAAATGATACATATTAAAAAATAAGGTGAAAAATCATAAAATCTACGATCCTACTTGTGATCCTACTTGTGATCCTACCTACGATCCTATACGATCCCATGCGATCCTACACAATCCCATGCAATCCTACACGATCGTATTGGCGATCCTGTTGTAACATCAATCCTACAACGATCTGGGTCGTTTTGGCAAAGTAGGATCGTAGGATCGTACGATCCTACGATCCGGATCGCGATTTTAACAACCATGATGTAGATTAAACATGTTAGGTATAGTGATATCACCAATTAATATAAAAAAAACAATAAAAGATATGGATTCCATCATAAATCCCTATAGAACAAAGCAAGCACAGAAAAATAACTCAATTGTTGTATGTACTAAATGAGATGCACTAAGGTATTGTCTTACTGTGTTGAAAGAAAATGCTTACGTTTCTTATCATGACTACTGAAATTTCTGTCAGAAATAGTTTTTCTTCGATTTGCCCCCCAGTAGCATATAGATTCCACTCATATTCATTCAAAATTAAATTGTTTACTTCTTTTTTTTAAGTCCGGTCTCTCCCTTCTCATATTTCTCAAATGTCAAACAGCACAATACTATGTGAGAAATATAGAAACTTGCTCATTGTTTCTTTCTTTTGCTTCAACCTTGTACTTCCCCTTCAACAAAATATGATAACATATACAACAATTGTATTATATTAGGATGACAAAGCAGTAAAATTTTATTGGTTGACTGGTATGCCAATGACCATGTGAGACCTCAGTTGATAGAGATAAAAAGTTGGAAATCAGGTATTGATTGGGTTTTCAGGTCCTCCTATTGTTAGGAAGAGAAAGGAATACATGGAGAGATTTGCCACATTTAAACTATGTACTTCTAGTAAAACTGTTGAAGATGAAAATGGAAGAATGACCTTTGCAGTTTAACACATTGTCCATGGTCATGACTAAATGCTATCAATTCAGCTAATATGAAAATTTTGTCCTGCTTAGGATCTTCCACCAAAGCACAATGAAAAAATATTCTGAATCGTCAAAATGTCAAGTGATAGAAGAAAAGCTATTGATATAACTCTGAATTCTCGTCAGAGTGGATAGATCACAGGAAATTTTATTAGATATTAAGTCATGCATTTTGTCAACCACTTTGTTTATTGTCGCCAAATAATAACCACCAAAATATCTACTAAAATATTGTTGAAAAACAATCTACTTGGACATTAAGAACCAAAAAAAAAAACCAAAAACAAAATTTCAGATAAGGTTTGATGACAATGCACAAGAAACATTCCAGAACACCTGTAGAAGCTTGAAAGCTTCCCAGTTATTAATTACTGCTTCACAACCAGCAGACAAACCTAGAAAGAGATAATGAAGAAACCCGAATCATATTTAGCATAAACAATTTTTTGAGCAAACGAAGACACCCAAGCCCTTAATAAAATCTTAGTATTTGAGCAAAGGGGTATTGCTTGTTGCATCAGTAAAAAGCTAAAGCTAACAAGTGTGAGAACATGGGTATGTTTGGTTTGCATTTGGGAGATGAGTTTTAGAAAAAAATTTCTAAAAAATTGTTTGGTTTGAGTTTTTCTCAAAAAATTTTCAAAATCACTTTCTCTCTCTTACACATCAATCAATCACTTTTTCTCTCTCCTCTCTCCTTCTCAATCACTTTTTCCCTCACACGCATCTACTCAAATTCTCCCAAAATATCAAATCATCCCAAACTCCCAAAAAAACAACTCTCCCAAAATATACAACCAAACAAACCAAAAAAATTTCTAAACTCTCTCCCCAAATTTTTTTTCAAA